AACTAAACTTGAAACTTGATTTAGGACACAGTTTCTATGAGTCCATGTAGAAATGAGTCAACTCTGAAAAATCTATTTTTGAGATGGATTTTGGGACTTAATTTTTAAGAACATGTAATCTCTAACATGGAGATCATGAATATGAATAAATAAATAAATTTTAAAAATTAGAAATAATAATTCTATTAAGAAAACATTTGGACCATTAGTTTCAATTGTTTTTAGATGGATTACCTAGTTACATCGATCTTTAAGATTGATGCTTTATACCTTGGGAGTACATATTGTAGAAATTCGGTCCAACCCACATGAAACAATTTTCCCTTGATTTAAATTGTATCTTTATTATAAGGGTGTGGTTCGTATAGAGCCAAGGCTCTAAATAATCAAAGTAAAGCACACTTGCAAATAGTGTCGAGAAATGTGGTTTAAATAATTAAAATCTTTGAGATAGCCTTAAAATATATTTTCATCTTTAATTATAAAATTTAAAAGCTTTAAAAATAGTGTAGATCGACCAGATCTATGAAAACTTGAAAATCTTGAAAATTGAAGATCCAAAAATGCATTACAAGATGCACTATTTCCAAAACTTGAAACCTAATTTTTTCTCATGTGTACGCATTTTGATGTCAAGATGATCAATTTGAAGATATTTGGATATCAAAACAACCTCTCTTAGTAAAAATTTTGAGGTGGGCTCTAATTTAATTGTTTAGAGCCTCGGCTCTATGTAAACTATTTTGTTATTATTTTTTATCTTTTAAATTTTATTTTTGAAGTTATTCTCTATCATATAAAATTCTCTTCGAAATCTGAAAATATTATATCAGTACCGCCAAGTCCCAAATCGATCCAACCCATTGACCAATGGAGTTTGCGTTCTCAAGTTTTCTTAATTATGCACGAATATATACATTTGCAATGCCAACCGAGTTATATAATTTCCTATTTCTTTCCAAAAATATCGGCTGATTTCTTTTCTCTTCTTTCCTTTTCTTTCTCTCCTTCTCTTTCTTTCTTTCTTTCTTTATTTCTTTCTATGCTTCCCCTATAGTATAGAAGTATTTTATTTTTAATGTTTTTTCTATAAATTATTTTGACACCAAATTTTAGGCGTCCATTCCTATATTAAACTTGTGCTAGCGAAAAATATAAAAAAAAGTATTTTCAATAAAATAAAATGAGCAAAATACCCCTGAAAGCTTCAAGGGGTATTTTGGTCATTATATTTTATCAAAAATTATTTTTAATATTTTTTATAGGTGTACCCCAATGAGAAGATGGCACGTACCAAATTTCGTATTCATACAATTTGTATAAAAAAATTTAAAAATAAAATATTTGAGATGTCGGATCTAAGATCAAATGATGAGTGGCTCTTTTGATCAAAGATCAAACGTTGGTATGGCTCTTTCCCTTATGTTAAATATATGGGAAAGGTTTGTATAGAGCCAAGGTTCTAAACAATCAAATTTTAGCTTACCTAAAAAATTTCACTAGAAGAGGTTGTTTTGATGCGCAAATATCCTCAAATTGATCATCTTGACAACAAGATGCATGGACATCAGAAAAAAATGGATTTCAAGTTTTAAAAATAGTGTATTTTGTAGCACATTTTTGGACCGTCAATTTTCAAGATTTTTCAAGTTTTCATAGATCTATCAATCTACACTATTTTTGAAGCATTAAACTTTATAAACAAAGATGAAAATATATTTTAAGGCTATCACAAAGATTTTTAGTATTGAAACCACTATTTGAAGGTAGGCTCTAATTTGATTATTTAGAGCCTAGGCTCCATACAAACTGCACCCTAAATATGTTAATGTATTATTTAAAGGAGAAAGTTTATACCTTAAAATGTAGAATTAAAGAGGCACCTCAAAATTCCATTGGAAAAAGTTGTTTTACTATTGAAGAAACCTCTAATTGATAGCTTGGATGTGTCATAAAGTTCCATAAACTTTCTTTTGAAGTTTGAGCTTAGTCAATGGAATAATTGCGGCCACCCAATTTCATATCCAATGGTCAAGATTAATGTGACAACCAAAAGTAAATGGTCTCATTCTATACTTTCCCTGATGTTAAATATATTCATATATTATTTAAAGGAAAAGTTTATATAGAGCCGAGGTTCTAAACAATCAAATTTGAGCCTACCTCAAAAATTTCACTAGAAGAGATTGTTTTTTTTTTATGCCCGAATATCCTCAAATTAATCATCTCGTCATCAAGATGTATGGACATGAGAAAAAAATAGATTTCAAGTTTCATAAATAGTGTATTTTGTAACATATTTTGGACCGTCAATTTTCAAGTTTTCATAGATGTGTCAATCTGCTCTATTTTCTAAGCTTTAAACTTTATAAATAAAGATAAAAATATATTTTAAGGCTGTAACAAAGATTTCAGTATTAAAACCACATTTCTCAACACTATTTGAAGGTAGGCCCTAATTTGATTGTTTAGAGCCTAGACTCAATACAAACCGCACCCATGATTTAAAGGAGAAAGTTTATACCTTAAAATGTAGAATTAAAGAGGCACCTCAAAAATCCATCGGAAATTTTTTTTTTAATATTGAAAAACCCTCTAATTGATCATCTCGATATCGAGATGTATGAATATGAAAAGAAAAAAATATGTTGAGTCCTAGAAGTAGTGCATCTTCCAAAACATTATCTAGACCGTCCATTTTCAAGATTTTCATATGTTTATTGATCTATTTGGTTTTAACCATTTTTGGAGGTTGAAATTTTACAATTAGAGGTAAAAATAGATTTTTAGGTATCCTAATACTTTTTTACACCAAAATTACATGTTATGATAAAATTTGGAGGCGCGCGAATATTTAAGGTTGCAACCTTATAGAAACCACACCTTTATTTAAAAGGTGTGGTTTACATAACCTTAAACAATCCAATTTAGGCGCACCTCTAAATTTTATCATAAATGTAATTTTGATATCAAAAATTTTTAGGATGGCTTGAGAATATATTTTTATTTCTAATTATAAAATTTTGAACTTTAAAAATTGTTCAAATCATGTAGATCAATAAATACATGAAAAGCTTGAAAATGGACGGTCCAGATAATGTGTTGCAAGATACACTATTTCGCAGACTCAAAATCCTTTTTTCTTTTCATATTCCTACGTCTCAATGTTGAGATAATCAATTAGAGGGTTTTCCAATATCCAAACAATATTTTATGATGGATTTTTTAGGTACATCTTTAATTCTATATTTTAAAGTTGCAACCTTATATAAACTTTTTCCTTATTTAAATATCATAACTAAAACTATATAGTTATGTCTATTTGATTATTAACCGAGTAGTATAAGAGTGTTATATATTAAATATTATTTCAATAATACCACTATTCGGGTCGGATCCAAATCGTGTCTACAGGATCCAAATATTCCCATATAATATTCAGGTCCAATATTTTGACCCTGACCCGTCAGGTAGGGTAGGGTCCATTGCCACCCCTGCCTCAAGTCGTACGAGGAAGGTTATTTGTTTATTTGACCATCTCTCGAAATGGAATCACATTGTTTAAGATTCCACCGTTAAGCGCTAGTTTTCTACTTCAAGGGAATAATTCCCCCTTCTTTTTTTTCTTTTTTTGTTTTATGTATACTTACTCTTTCATAAAAGGTTTAAGCTTTCATCCTCACCTAATGTATTAAAAAACTACTAATGATTTCAAAAAATAAGTAGGAGCTCGACATCCCCACTGAATTATCCAAAAAAGAAAAAAGACAGAGAGAGATTTTTTTTCAATATTTTGGGATCCATTTTGAAATGGTCGAAGGATTGTTTTCAAAAGAAGAAAAAAATGATTTTTGAGTCATTAAGCAATTATGCCTGACGATAAAAAATTAGAAAGTCTATGTTCAATCTTAAGAAACTAATGTTTTCATACATGTTATTTGATTTGTTTTTCTGTTTTCAAATTAGTCGCTAGATTACATAAATAAAAAGGATGCAAGTGTGGTTTCTATAAGGTTGCAACCTTAAACAATCCAATTAAAATCTACCTCCAAATTTTATTATAAAAGATAATTTCGTTATAAAAAATTCTTAGGATTATCTAAACGTCTATTTTCCTATCTAATTATAAAATTTTAAACTCCAAAAATAGTAAAAATCAAGTAGATCTATATTTATACATATCGATGTCAATATGATCAATTAGGGGGTTTTTGAACATTAAAACAACCTTTTCCGATGGGTTTTTTCGTTGCATCTTTAATTACATTTTACGGTTGCAACCTTGTATAAACTTTTTCCATTTCTATAAGGCGTAGTCTTTATAAAAAAAAAGTAAAGTCTCATCCAAAAAACACTTCGGGCTGAGGAAATCTATATTGTGGCTCTAAAACCAATTTCCACCACCAATTATGAAACTCCTAGCTCAAAATATGGTTTAGATTTGCGCGTCGGTGAACACTTGAAAATGAACTGTTTTTTTTTGTTTGGCGGGGGAGGCGAGGGGGGGGGTCGTTAACGAAAATAAACAGTTTTTTTTTTGGTAATTCAGTTGGGGAAAAAGCCGATTTGTTTTTCATTAATAGAGATAGAGAATTACAAATCATTATTTTATAATATTACAATAGGGCATTTGTGCCAAATCATGGAGTAAAGGAAGAGAAATAAAATTCGGCAGTCTAATGAGCTAAATCACAGAACCATAATAAGCCGCAGTCTTTTTGGCAAAGTGTATCCACCACTACGTTAGACCGACGATAAATATGGGAAATAGACTGCACATTAAATTGTATGTTATAATAGTCAAAACTACAATTTTCTATGAGTTTTGGGGTGAGGCTTTACTTATTTTGATAGGGCCCTCACAATACTCCAAGGTTAGACGTTTTTACCTGAGTGAGTGAATAGCTGAAATAACCTTTTTTTCTAATAAGTCCATTTGCTAGCTACTCTTGTCTCTTATAGACTGGTATAAATTGGGAAGATTCCACCATGAACCAACTTGCTCTGTCTTTCCTCTATATAATCCAGCTAATTCTTGGTCATGTGAAGCAACAATCTCTTGTTCCTTGTTATTTTTATCTTTCTTGTTGATAGTTAAGAAACTCTTGTTCCTATGGCTTCTTTAACCCTTGGAGCTCCTATAAGTGAGATTTTCAATGTAAAATACAGTAAGGCTTTGCAATTTAGACATGGAAAAGGGTTTGTTAAAGAGTGTTTTCCGAAGAAGAAAGCGGTGATGAATGTTTCCATAGAGGATGTTGGGGGAGGTTCTCAGGTCAGTAGTATCCCGGCCATGAAAACTGAGGCAACAAAGAAGCTCTCGGCTTGGCAAAGCGTACCGAAAGAGCATTGGACAGGTGAATTGGCCGTTGAAGGCGAAATTCCAACATGGCTGGTATGATCTCTCTCTCTTTCTCTCTCTCAATCAAGAATTGTGAGACAAAGCTTGGGCTTCCATTCATTTTGATGAAAAACTTGCAATCAGCCGAAGCACAGAATTGCTTCATTTTTCTCAATAAACCGAAAAAGACTCCTAAGCGAATCTGACAACATTGGTCTCAAGTTCAACCCCTGCAATTACTCCGTCAAATGTCCAACAATTTCTCTCTTTCCAAACTTCCTAAAGTATAGCAAAGACCAACATTTTCCGTAGATCCTTACCTATCTTACAAGCAAGGAAAGGCATCCACTATTCAAAAAGCTTAGCAACGGATCCTGGATTGAACCATTGCATATCAATTTGCAGTAATATCCAAGAACACAGTTGTAGTAAAGCGACAATATAAGAACAAATATTCTACTCTCCTTCCTTACACATTAGACATAAGACATACTAATAAGCATGCCCCTTCTATTGTTAGGATTTTACCCCTACCAAGCAAAATAATGTGCCTCATGTGGCCTTTGAAATGGTAGGATTCAGATTTTGCTGGGCTTTGATAAACGTGTCTATTGGCTGATTTGACTGAAAACTCTTCATCAATGATTATCTCCTAAAATTTTTTGACCTTCTTCTAAAAGATAATATCGTTAAAATTGGTGTAGTTTCAGATGTGAGTCTGCAACATAAACAGATTTTGTCTGCGACGATGGCATCCTTGTCATTGCATTTCATGAAAACATCTGGGAACTCTATCTTCAAGTCTTTTTCACCTAACCATTTTTTATGCCAAAAAGTGTGTTTTTCCCTCTATGCACCCGTATGTTCAAGATTCCCTTTAGAATAGATGGCAACAATGTTGGATACCATTCCTCTACTTCAAATAGAAGGCAGGTATGTTGCACCTACTGTTCAGGCTTTTTGGATGGGCAAGCTTGTAGTAACAAGTTCTGCCAAAAAAAATTTAAATTAAAAACAAAAAGACAACGACTGGGTTATAGATGTGATACTAAAAGCGTTAGGAGTTGAATGTCTATAAAGTTCATTTTGAGAGTATCCATAACTTTTAAAGGTCAAATTTAATGACCATTTATACATCTATGTATCAAGATTGTCAATAGTTCTATACCCGTAGAGTCTAATATACGATGATTACAATAGTTTACTTTTAGGTTTTTAGAGTCTACTTCATATATATTTATTTTTTGTACATGGAAGAAATATACTTGTAAATCAATTCTTGTTTCATTTGATGAAATTAAAGTTATTCTTGATAAATACTTTAGCACGTACATCAAAATAGAAGGCACTTATTTTGCACGTTATTGAAGTGACTTCATACACACCTTACTTACCCAAAAGAAAGAGTGTAGCCCAACCATGAGCGATATGTTTGGTACAAGAAAGTCACAGTCACTATGATGTGAAACGTAACATATAACAAGGTCACAATCATCACATTTAGTTATCATCGTATAATCCATTGATCAAACAAGTTCACCTTTATAATAATATTATTAGTAGTATTAAGTTTCTATAGGGACTAGGGTTTATAAAAATAAAATAAAGCCTCACCTCAAATCTTCGTTCGGAAAACACTTTCAGCATAAAAAATCTTCATGACGGCTCTAAAACTAATTTCCAACACCGACAATAAAATTTGAAACTCAAAAAATCATATAGATCTTGCATATATGTGAATACTTATTTTAAGGCAGAAATAGATGGTATCGATAATTTTTTGCAATATACACTATTTTTATATTTTGAAATCATAATTGTTTTTACGCAACCATAATGTTAAAGATGAGATGATCGATTCATTGAAAATAATAATTTTTGATCTCTCATTGAAAAGCTCTCATTTGTATGCAGAATGGGACATACCTGAGAAATGGCCCCGGTTTGTTCCACATTGGCAAGTACACTTGCCAACACCTATTTGACGGTTATGCAACAGTCATCCGCCTCCACTTCGACAACGGCCGCCTCATCGCAAGCCACCGCCAAGTCGAGTCCAATGCATACAAGGCAGCGAAAGAAAAAGGGCGCCCATACTACCGTGAATTCTCTGAAGTGCTGAGCGATTCCAACTTCCTCTCTCAAATTGGCGAGCTAGCTGGCCTCTTAACCGGCACTTCTCTCACCCTCACTGACAACTCCAATGCTGGTGTTTTTAGGCTCAACGATGGTCGAGTACTATGTATAACAGAAACTGTGGCGGGCGTAGTGGAGATAGACCCTGACACCCTCGAGACTATCGGAAAATTCGAATTTTCCGATGGGCTCGGTGGCCTAGTCCATGCTGCACATCCTATTGTAACTGATAACGAAATGATAACTTTGATGCCAGATTTGTTTAAGCCTGGGTATAGGGTGCTGAAGATGGCTCCGGGTTCAAATAAGAGGGACGTTATTGGGAGGGTGGATTGTAAAGGGGGTCCGGCGCCGGGATGGGTGCATAGCTTTCCAGTGACCGATAATTATGTAGTGGTGCCGGAGATGCCTCTGAGGTACTGCACAAGCAACTTGTTAAAGGCCGAGTTTACACAGCATTACAAGTTCGAATGGCTCCCCGAGTCGAAGGGCTACATGCACATCATGTGCAAGAGGAGCGGGAAAGTTGTACGTGATTCTCTCTTACACGTACACAATTTTGAAAGGATCTGCGTAGCGTTAAGTTTCTCACCATTTATAATTATTTTTATTATGGGTGCAATTTGTATAGAGCCAAGGCTCTAAATAATCGGAGTAAAGCGCATTTTCAAATAGTTTCGAGAAATATGGTTTCAATACTGAAAATCTTTGTGATAGCCTTAAAATACATTTTCATCACTAATTATAAAATTTAAAGCTTCAAAAATAGTGTAGATCGAAAAGATCTACTTGAAATCCATTTTTTTCTCACCTTCATGCATCTTGTGGTCAAGATGATTAATTTGAAGAGGTATCAAACCAACATCTTCTACTAAAATTTTTGAAGTGCGCCCTAATTTGATTGTTTAGAGCTTCCCACTTATATGAACTTTTTCTTTTATTTTGCTTTTTTGCAATTAGGAGATGGGTTGGCCCACTCTTAATTCCTCATTCTCAACACAGTTAAAATTCTATGAAAATACAAATAAACACTTTTTTAATATATAGAAATATCTTTTTTCTTTTAGAGGGAGGAATACTTGCGTGCTTTTGCCACGATGATAACAAGAAAATGAATAGCTTCTCATTCTCTGTGTTCTTAGTTTTGCAATTTCATTAGTTTCTTTCCCTTATATTCTTTCTCTCTTAACTCCAGTTTTGTTGACATGTTCATAGTTAAATGCTAACCACCAGAATCCATAATTCCTTTGCTAGAGAGGAATACCTGTCATGTTTTTCAATTAATGTAGAAAAATAAAGATAAAAAAAAAAAAGAAAAAAAAAAGGAAAAAAAAAAAACAAAAAAAAAAAAAAAAAAAAAAAAAAAAAAAAAAAAAAAAAAAAGAAAAACAAGAAAAAGGTAGAGGTATTGTCTTTTTTGCTGCTAAGTAGTTCCCTTATAACTTTCAAGCAATTAGACCTTAATACTGGTAAAATTGCAGGTAGCAAGTGTGGAGGTGCCATTATACATAACATTCCACTACATAAATGCTTATGAGGATCGCGATGAGGATGGGCGCCTCTCTGTCGTAGTCGATTGTTGTGAGCACAATGCAGACACCACCATACTCCACATACTCGAGCTGCAATCCCTCAGAAAGTATATTGGCCAGGATGTGTTGCCTAATGCTAGGTACATGACATCCAAATTTCTTCATCCACAGCACACATAATGACATCTATCTATTTTTTTCTCTGAAAATTTTTGAGAGATCTTCTCTAGTTTTATAATTTTTGTGCAATTGTTCAATGCCAAACATGCTAAAATACAATGAAAAGAGAGAACAAGAAAAAGTAAACTGTATCTGATCAAGGCTTCAAGAATGCATGTCCCCTGTTTGTAGAATGGACAACTTAGGGTACTAGATAGCCATAAAAATTAGTACCCATGTGATAATCGTAGTACATTTAGTACAATTCAGAAGTTTGAAATCACTAGGTGATATGAAATTTTCATGTTTCTCCCTTCTTTATGAAATCAAATACTAGTTGTGGTAAAAAGCACTTCAATGAGTGAGAGTGTGTGAGAGAGAGAGAGAGAGAGAAAGACAGAGACAGAGAGAGAAAATTCAGACTAATATTATAACATGCAGGGTAGGGAGATTTAGAGTTCCATTAGATGGGAGCCCAAAGGGAACCCTGGAGTCAGCCGTAGACCCAGATGAACATGGAAGAGGAATGGATATGTGCAGCATCAATCCTGCTTATAGAGGGAAGAAATACAGATATCTCTATTCATGCGGTGCCCAACGTCCATGCAACTTCCCAAACACTCTCACAAAGGTAATAAGCTTCCATAACGCAACAGTTAATTTTTTGTATTCAAATTTCAACTAATCTCAGCAAAATATGTACAATAAATGTCTTTTTCTTTTAATTGTTGGGTATTCTTCAAATTTGGTCCGCTCTTTAAATTTCCTTTAAACTTGTTTGACATTTTGGTCTATCAACAGGAATCACAGTTACACCTCATCCAAATCTAGTTGTCATATCAATTTACAAGAATTATAACATCTCAAATATGCTATTCTCCCATTATAGAAAGAGAATACTTGAAAGTTGCACATTGTCGAAATGAATTACAATTTTTATTTATTGGTACCTCTATTTCATTAATCAAAATTCATGTATAAATACAAGTCTTCTTCCTTTCCAAAAACTGAGTTTCTGTATAATTAGACTCTTTAAGTATGGCTCTGGACTAGACATTTCAACTGACTACATTCTACATTTCAGAAGAATCTACAGGAAAAAGAAGAAAAAAGGTACCCAACTTCAGTGGGAGGAGTGAAAATTGTGTCAACAGAACTCCTATAGATGCTGGGTGTAGCCAGACATATTAGATCAAAAAAAAATTGAAGCAACAGACCAAATTTGATTCGCAATGTGGCAGTGCAAGAAAAAACAGGATGCTGTTTTGGCATATTTCCTACATAGCATACACTTTGGTATGACTGAACCACGTTGCCTTGAATTGTCCACGTTAGATCTGTTGTAGAATGACCAGCTCAAATGCTAATGTTTTGGGGAGACAAGATGTTGCCCAAATCCTTCCTATGACAAATCCTAGTCCTCTCTTGAGTCGAGGTGTTTTAAATCATTTAACTGAAAATCACCTTTGCCATCCTGTGTGCAAACCAATCAGTCCTTCCTCCATACCTGTAAAATAATTGACGTAAAGCAACACATTAGTAAGGAGCAGCACCTCACCATCCTGTAACACACCTTAATCTTGGGTTCCAAAATGTTTGATGCCCTTGCCCTTCTACTGCTCCTGCCAAAGTGATCTCAACGTGCACTACCAACATAAATAATTTACGATATTGGCCATCAAGTGGTTCATCCAAACCATAGGTCTGTCCAAGATCTAGTCGTAGTCCACCTTCAATTTACAACCTGCACCCTCACCGTCAGAGTGACTCCGGCCAGCAACTATCAGTCCCCTTCCATTACCCTGCACCCTCACTGTCAGAGTGAATCAGGCCAGCAACTATTAGTCCCCTTCCATATTACTGGGAAACTTCCTATGCTATAATGTTCCTCTATTGACTATTCGCCTTCATTTTTCCCACATTTGAATTAGACAATTTATTTCCATAATGGTCTTTCTGAGGCCATAGCCTCCACAATTTTGTTAGCAGAAGCATTGTAGTTTCTCTGATTTTCGAAGGTCCAATCCTCCTTTACATTAAGGCCTACAGGCTTTGTCCTGACTTATTTGATGGGCCTTGTTCCTCTCAGCTAAGCCCGTAAATCCCTCATCAATTTCTCTATCTCATTTGCCAATGAAGATGGAATTGAATATGGGAAAATGAAATAAATTGCGAAAAGGATAGAGTGGACTTGACTATTCTTATCCTCCCACCAATTAATAGGAATCCAATTTTCCAAGCTGCCAGCTTCTTGAAATTTTTCCAAGACTCTGCACCAAATAGACTTTGTTTCTTTCCCATGACAGAATGATAGCCCTAACTATTAGAGTGGAAGTCAAATCTGCACCAGAGCCCCAACATTTAGCTAGCATCTCTACTCTTTATTGTGTTATAACAAAGTCCATCTGGTCTATGACATTTTCATCTCCCTCAAACAACTACATGGCATCTTAGAAACAATCAAACAAATTTCCATCTGCTCCACTTGCATCAAAATACTGAAGTGTCATCCACACATCGTAAGGGCGATAGTATAGGCCCTCTAGGAGCAACCTTGAATGACCTGCTTCACAGGCTCCTTCTAACATACTGCTAAAGACTACAGACACAATTGAAAAGAGGAAGGCTGAAAGGAAGGGCCCCTGCCTCAGTCTTGGGCTGGGGGAATAAGCCTCTTGGTGCCCCATTGATGAGAATAGAGAAGCAAGCACTGGAAAGGCAATCATTTCTCCATCTTTCCCCGAACCCCATTAGCGTCATAATTTCATTTAGGTCCCTCCAATCAAATACTATCCTATGCTTTTTCTAAGTTACATCAATAGATGCACTCATAAGCCACCATGCACTATCCATGATCTGTCTCTCCTTGACAAAAGCAGCTTGGGGTAATGAAATTACCTGAGTTAGAACCTCATAAAGTCTTGTCAACAACACCTTTGTAAGGATTTTGTATACACTACCCAAAAGACTGATTGGTTCTGATAGATCTTTGATGTCTTTGATGATCTCTTCTTTTTTGAAACCAGGGCTACAGAGAGATGAGTTCATTCTGCTATTTATACAGCCTATTCCAAACATTCTCAGAACAATTTGAATGATACCTTCTTTCAATAGTTCCCAAATCTCTTAGAAAGGGTAGCCATCCGACCCCAGCACTCTATATGTCTTATTTGAAACACCGTGTGACTAATGTCTTCATATTTGAATGGCATTTCAAGCCAAACAATGCTTGCTGGAATCAGTTCGCTGAAAGGGATATCTTCCATATTACAACAAAGACTTTCTTCTGCTTTGCATACTTTCTGAAATGCTCCACTAATGTTGACTCAAACCGTTCATACCCATAATAGTATCAACTGGAAATGGAAATCCTGTCTATAGAATTGCCTCTTTCATGATAATTGGCTACTCCATGGAAAACTCTTGTCCTGATGCCCTTGCCTCAGTCGTCTGAATCTTTATCTGTCATGCCAAAATCTTTCTGCTAGCTTCAAGCAATCTTAACGGGCAGCTTTGGCATTCATTCTATGGTTATATTTTCTCTAGTATACCAGAGTCGTTTGTCTCATTTAATAAAACATTTATGTAGGAGTGGAGATTGTCAAATGACACCTTATTCCATTCCTTCAAATTATACTCAAGTAGCTCCAACTTTCTACATATTCTATCCAGCCCATGCTTCGACCTTGAAAGAGGTCTACCAAACCTTTACTCGATCCCCGACTATGGGGACTTTGACATTGCGCTACTCATTGCGGCTTTGCTTGTTGGCCAAGAAGGGTAAAATCCTAAGAACTCTATTATGACTCATATGGTGCAACGCAAAAGGGAACTTGGGGTTAATGGCCTTTAAATGCTTGTATAATTGGTTATTCATCAAAGTTATCTTGCCTTCTCCCCATGTATATATCACATGTTTTATGTTCATGAATTACTTTTGAGTGGGAGTGTGCACTAGGTTAAATAGAGCAGGCAATGAGAGCTCTATCAGGACATGATGGGGTCCATCACTCTCAGCCGTGCAATAAGACCTTTACTAGATGAGGGAACCCACATCCTGGGATGGTTTTGTTTGGTCCCATGATGTGCACCATTGAAGGCGGCCCACTGTAACCCTATCAAGGCATGTTACAGCTAGGGTGGACGTTGCCTAGTACTCCAAGAGATGAAAAAGGCTACTGTGAGTCCGTAATGATTTTTAGGGGCTTGTGAGGACTAGCGCCTGAAAGCCTTAGCACTGGAAATTCTATGCAGCATGTGTACTTCTGGTTGCCTCAGATTTGTGTGACCTTGGAGTTATGTTATGCCAATGTTGAATTCTGTCTGGAGTTTTTAAATATTTTTCGAGCAAAATAAATATTTTTATTTTCTAAATTTAACCACTAAAATATTATGTGGTGAATTTTGTATTTAAACAAAGTATAGTTTTGGAATAAATTATTGTTTTAGATCAAGGGGATTCTTATTAGCATTATTTTTTTGTTATATAAGAACCAATATAGAGCATACTATACACCAAGGTTTTAAAAAATGTATTAAAAAGCAAAATCGCCCCTCTGGATTTCCATTCCGGTTCAGCGGATTGCAATCCATTCTAACAAACTAGAAATTAAAATGATTAAAAAAATAAATGGGGCTGGTTCTCTGACAGCGAACCGGCCGATACTAGCTGGTTAGTGACTAGAACCCACTAGTTCATAGGGGAACTGGCTGATTCTCAATATTTTAAGGGATTCGGATCAATCTGACCGATACCCTATCCGAATCGACCAGTTCTGATCTGGATCACCAATTTTTAAAATTTTGCTAGACACACGCATATGGCTCACTTTGGGACATTGTTTTGTGTCCATATGGACCACACGGCTCTGACTATTTCATCAACATGGTCCCCACTGGCTTAGGGTGCCATGTTATAGTCAAAAGGTCAACGGATGGAGCGTGGGGCACTTTATGTGTCCAAGGAGGTGCACGAAGCACTATAAGGTCTCCCAGTTTTTTTAGAAGCCAATAATGATAGGAAAGCAAGTTTGTTAGAAAATATTTCGAAAAATCTTTTGGTGATTAGAAAATGTTTTATGTTTAATAAGAGGTTCTAAAAACTCCACCATGGCCAGTTCAAAGCCAGTCCCAAGCCCGGATAAGGGAGGAGGTTTGTGTTAGGTAAACAGCTAGCACAAAATTTTACCACACCTTTTCATGAATTATGAACCTATATTATATACTCATGCTAGGGCATTCCCTATAAGCAACGTGTAGTACCGGCCGTGACTGAGGATATGGCCCTTAATAGAGTAGAATGGCGGAACAAGATTCGTGTAGCTAACCCCAAATATTTGTAACAGGCTTTGATGATGATCATGCTGATGAATAGTTTCTAAAAGGGAATTCTAAATCTTATTGGAGTTTGTTATGGAATCCAGTTAGAAGTGGAAGTTTCCTAGACAAGGCAAGGGAATGAACAGCTAGCATTGGCCTCTCAAACTATGAATCTCCCACTAGAGTTTAAAAACGACTTCACTTTTCCATGGAATCTCTCTTTAGTGCTTGGATGGATTAGTTTTGGTTCTCGTTTGCCCTCCGATTCCTTGCTCACTAGATCAACCATGTCATGGTAGGGAGGCCCTCCAAAGTTTCTCAAGGCACTTGTTCGGAAATTATCATTTTCAAAAAAAAGAAGAAAAGAAACTTCTCAGGGAATTTCTTTTGAAGGTCCTCGTATCTCTTGTGCCAACCCATGTATTGCAAAGCAGTTTGTGCAATAAGGGAGGTCGACCGACCAAAGAAATCCAGGGGATAGCTCTCTATGACAACCATCATTCTAGACCCACTCCTCATCCCTGTATCCCTTTACAACTTTCAATACATGTTTCTTTTTAATAGCAAATCAATCAAAATTCAAAATGCAAGTTATGTCAAACCAATGGTTTGCATCAAAGGTGAACTTTGGTCCGCTATGACAAAATTTTGGATCACATTTGGATCAGCTACGGATAAAACTTTTATACAATTCTCACGTGTGGCCCAATTCCAAACGTTGACATGTGGTTATGACATGCATGATTTGTGTCATGGGTTTAAAGTTTCAAAGAATTATTATTGTTTGACTGGGTTTGGCTTTCTACCACAGATTGATCTGGAGAAAAAGACTGCAACGAATTGGCATGATGATGGTGCTGTACCCTCAGAGCCCTTCTTTGTACAAAGGCCAGGTGCCATAGCAGAAGATGATGGTCAGTTGTTCAACCGCATTTAACTTCTCAAGGATCTACTTTTACTAGGGCACGCATGCACACCTGCGCATGGGTGCAAGCACATGAACACACATGTACACGCTCTCACACCACACCCACACACACAGACGAAAATTGTCACTTCAGGTCCTTGAAAAGAATTGTGAGAGAGATCAAAGTCATCTTGGCTTCTAATCCTATTATAAACAACAACAGGGAATTATTATATAGGTGCCATATACACTACAAAGACCACTGCAGTAAACTACTCTATGCTATCAGGAGACTAGGGGCACCAAAAATAAGGATCATAGGAACTTTAAAACCTAAAGGAACTATGGAAAGAAGCATAAGCTCCTGGGGTTCTTTTCCAAAGTTAGAGACCAATGGATAAACGGAATTATTCCAGAATGCATTTGATAAGCATGTTCTTTTCAAAAACAATGGAACTCCACAAGGCAAGACTACATTACAAAACTTCATGCTAGAGATATTCCATATAAAAACTCCGCATGATGGTCTAGCTTACCTTAATACCATAGTGCATGGAATTATATGTATGTTATGAGCAATATTTGCATATATGTAGTATTGCATTATTGCATAAACATGTAAAAAAATACACAATTAGGCATAGATGTATTTGTATGTGGCAAGTGTGTACATATGTTCGTTGTGTGTGTGCACTTGCATTTGCAATTACCTTTCTGGACCTACCTGTATGAGGTTGACTTAGTATTTTTTTGGTGGATTTGGCTATAGGTGTGTTGATCTCCCTAATCAGCGAGAAAGACGGTGGTGGATATGCACTCGTGTTGGATGCGACCACCTTCAGTGAAGTTGCCCGAACAAGACTCCCCTATGGTCTTCCATATGGCCTCCATGGATGCTGGATCCCGAAAAAGTGAAATACTTGGAAGAAACAGAACTAGTCAAGTAAGATGTGTTATTGGTCTCAAAAGTTCACTGTTTTTCTTCATATAGTGGATAAACAAATGGCAACACAAGCACTAGGAGACTGAAATTAGGAGAAGTAGAAGCCTAGGATAGTGACCGAAATCAGTTGAGGGTAAGAAAATGAAACCCAAATATTTCAAAATAAGTCATAAAGAACTCAATGAAATCCAAGGTAGCTTTCTTTTTAAATTAAAAAAAAAATAAGAAAATACAAACAGAGTACAAAATGAGGCACCAATAAACCATTCTGGATGGCATTCAGAGCAATTAATAAAATCAGGATACACAAAAACCTCAATCACCGAGATGGCACCTAGATCTTCACTAGGCACAATAATAGCACAGCGAATGAGAAGCATAATAAGCCCAAAAAGCAAAGGCTTAACTGAATTTCATTTGATCCATTCCCAATGGATTTCACCATAGCCAGAGCTATCCTAGCCTTTAGTTTCACCATTTCAAATGAAACGTCAGCCTTTGATTTGACCTCTTTAAACATAATCTGATTCTCCAGAAATCTCCAGACTTCAACAAGTTCTCTTACCATTACTTCATTCAAGGTCAAGAAGAATAGGGGATCTTCAGCAAAATTCGAAACCAGAACTAAACACTACGCCCTAAAATTGCCTAAGCAATCGAGTAACACTCTGAAATGCCACATAACAGCGCTAGTAATCTCAAGTTGCATGAGCCCAAACTCAAACTCCTTCACCAACCCGTCCACTAGCTTGTGACTAATACACATCCAATCTCAAGGCGTGATGAAGCAAAAAACACAAGAAAATTTGATTTCTTAGCTTCTTGATTCTAGCTGCCCTTTTCTAATGAAGTTTTCCTTCAAACTTGTCAAAAAGATAATGATTTCCTTTTATATTTTGTAGTTTTATTAAGTTGTTTACTTTTCTAATGGTGAATTTGTGATACTGACCTAATTTCCCTTTTTGCTTCTCTTAGGGATCTTGCGGGAGAATGGAAAATAAGACCTCTGAAATATTCAGGCCCTTTCTTCTCCGGATATTCAGCTCTGCTATCTTTCAATTTCTTTTGTCAACCAGGTTCTAAGTCAATTAAGAGTGCAAATATGGTGCCTTATCCTTGAGTCTGTTACTATTCTTTAGCCAAACTTGACTACATAAGTTTATGAAATTCGAATTTCTCAATTCCGCACTTTGAGAGAGTAAAGAGCCTTCCTACAACTTCTTGGTTGCATAAGCAATCCACTGAACCCTCTAGGACTATAGGATTTCTGTCAAACAGAAAGGTCACTAGTGTGTTCAGGGTACAGAGGTTTATAGTTATCATTTAATATTCCTTTATACTTATCGTTTAATATTCCTTCAGTGGAATAACTTTGGATTCCAGGCTACCTGGTGGTTAAGAGTCATAATAATCCTCCCTGACAGAGTGTGGCATTCAAGTGACCCACCCCAATATGTTAAATTCCTATTGAACAATTTCTCATAATACACTTAGAACACCGAATTTCATTAGGGAAGTAATCATAAACTCCCTACTGCTAATTTAACGTGGGTCTGAATGCATCATCCCATGGGAATCCTCAAAATAACACGACAAAGATATACTGGTGCACAAACTTGTTTGCTTGAGCATCCTTTATGCTTCACATTGAAAATTTAAACCAAAATCTCTTTTCAGCCACCTTCTAGACAACCTGGGACCAGCTGACCCCTCTAAGGTGAAACCTAATCCATTATAATTGGTGAAATTTTCTTTACCTTTGTCTAATTTCCTGAACACAGCATGGTAGAATTCTGTCCCACTTTTGAACAGGGTGAAAGTAAAAGCAACAGCTAGACATTGTATGCAATGAAATTCTTCGATATGGGACAGCATATATGAGGATCATTTCTGAAATAAAGTTTAAAATTACATGAGGCAACAAAAATGAGTTGAAATCTTTATGCCATCAATACAACAGGTGAGACCCCAAAACCCCTTGCTAAGCCAGTAAAAAGTATTTTGATGGCTGCCGTGCATTGCTTTCTTTGGTTTGACCAGCCATGCGGAATGTGATACTCACAATAGACATTCCCACTATATATTGAGCAGTTGACCAACTTAATGCACAACATGATATATTGGTTTGGGAACCACAACTGAGGTACCAAAATCTTAAGATCTAACTACTAGGTATCAAAATCTGAGAAAGGTTCTGAGTTTCATCATATCATTAAAGCGATTTTTCAACCAAATTCTGTGGCCCTAATAGGAAATTTTGATTTTGAAATCTGTCTGACTTTGTTCATAAAAAAAAAAGGAGAAAGCACTAATCCAACAGATAAATGAATTACAAGTAATAAATGACCTTATCGAGCCTACATAGATATGACAATTAAAAAATCAGCACCCAATATGGGATCAAAAACAATGAAATCTCGGGCAACTGACTGTGTGCACCCATCTACTGCATTTTTTAAGTTTTAGATCCAAAAACAGATACATATATAATAACAACAAATTCGACACCAGAATGCATAGTCACAACCTCCTGAGTTAATATGCCCCAAGATAGCTTTGGAATCCTGCAGCTCAAACATTGGGCCGATTTACCTCCAGACCCTAAATTAGTGCAAGCATCCAATGGCCTCACTTCTATCCAGCAGAATATTGAAGGGAGAAATAATGTGATTGGAAGCATATTCACTTGTTTACGCAGACATGCATGCACACACAATAAAAGGATCAGGATTCTCCAAAGGAGCATCATCAGAGATCATGTTGGCTGCAACTCAAAGCAGCTAACGGTCCAACAAGGGTGAATAGGAGACACACCTATCCAGGAATCGCTTCTATGTTTGTGATTCTCATTCTAGCAAAATTTAAATCGGAAGGCTTGAAAGAGGAGGGACAACCTCAAGGTAGAGGAAAAAGAAAGATCTTTTTATTGCAACAAGACATACGATCCAACTGTGTAAGACACGTGGTCTGCATGAGAGAGCTCATGGGTTTGAACTTTGAAGTGTATCCCCTAATAAAACCAGGCAATCCACAAGAGGAAACGAAAAAGTGATTACCCTTTTTATATATGAGGCACCTTCCACCTCTTGAAAGAAAATATCATGGGCATGTTACGACATGTATTCTTTAGAGGGCATTAAGACATGAGAGAACTGAGAGAACAAATCAAAGGAAAGTAAAAACAAGATCGAAAAACAAAGGCACAAGGACATCCCTATTAACATATGAGGAGCTGAGTGAATACGCAACTTAAGACCTCATATCGCCTTGTGTGAATATTTGATGAGCCTAAAGAAGTTTCTAATGGGCCTGCTATTGAAACGAGAGAAAGCGAGATGAAACCTTCAAGGAAGTACCTTTGGGGATTGAACCAAAAGAGTCCAAGAGCTCAAACAAGGACTCGTCAAAATTCAGATAGATTTCTCTATTTTTCCTTTTATCAAGGATTCAGAGACAGTAAAATTGGGTTTTTTCTCTCAACAGCCAGAGTTAATCAAATAGGATTTTGCAGTACACAGACCTCCATATATCATAGAAGAGATGAAGGAAAAAGATCCTTTATAAAACTTTCTTTTTTCCAGAAAAATCTTTCTTGTCCCATTAAAGTTTGTGATCATTGCATCGCTGGTAAGCTTTAAATATCCAAGGCTTGGATAGGGTTGCAGGTGTCAAAGATCTCATGATGCACAACAAGGAATGAAAAAAATTAGGAGACTCACATATTGTCTTTAAGCTCTAAGCATCATCTAATTATAAAGTTTTCTTAGAAAGGGGCACCAGAGTTAGAGATATGAGCTTGCAAAGGATACATGCTCGGGTGACTTTCAAGTGGCCTGAATTTTAAGATTCCACAAGATATTTACTCACTGTGAAATAAAAAGAGAGAGGGCATGCACGAGGTCAGCCTATTGATCTCAATTGATTGCCACTGCGGTGGACAATCGCAGCAAGAGGAGGGGCGAGAGTGTTACAGAGATAAAGGGCATGAAGTAATAGAAGAAGGGTTTCAACATGGAGAGAGACACAGAGAGAGGGAGAGAGGGCAAAAAGGTCAAGAAATTTAAACTTAAAAACCATTAACAGCTGGCCCAGATAATCGGCAATAAGATTCTGGACTCATTAGAACGAATGGTCTAAAACTCAAATACGCTTATGACAGTGTATCTAAGATGCATACGATCATTCCCCTTTAACTAAACAATTTTTTTCGGCAGGAATATAGTGTTCACATTTCACACACACGAACGCACGCATATACGAACGCATTCACTCGTGTACACGAATGGACATAAACACATAGGCATCACATGTGGGTTTTAGAATAACTGCACATGATCATAAGAAACAATCTTATATATCATTTTCAGCCATGCACAGCTCGCTGTTCTTGTCGAAAGGAAGACAGAACACGTATCTAGATACATGTAGAGTAAGGAATCAGTGATTGAGAGCACCAAAACAATGGCCTCAAAATACTTAAAAGACCAAATCATGTAAAATATACGAATCCTCATCTATTGATTGTTAAATACAAATATTTTATAATACATACCCAAGCTCATGCAAATAATGGCTTTGGGGCTAAATATCAATGGTATCCATTGCATCAAAAGATCTTTCCCCATGAACCAAGAAATGGGAAGACTGCTACCAGCAACCTCCAAAGCAATGGCACTTCCCTGTTCCCCACCCTTCTCACAAACTTGGTCTTCTTTTGTGCATTTAGGGGCACAACTTTTTTTTGAGGTGGAGGTTTTGCTGCTGGTTCGTTTTCCAAATCTTCCCAACCACCAAATCTTTGCCTCCGCTGCCCACCTTGACATGAACCTTCCGGGCCCCAAGACTCATCCCCCCCTGCTTCACTTTTTTCTTTCATTTCACTTGTTACATGTTCTCGGTTGGCATAATTGGAACTGGAGGTGGTGGATGTGGAGAAGGGCCTTGATCTAGGGCTCCTCGATCGGGGTTTAGATCTAGAATTCACTTGGTTTTTCCCCCATAGCTTATCCACTGCAAAAGAGAGGGCAGTCTGAGAAAGGGGGAGTGCCATGGCCATGAGAAAGGCCTTGGGTCCTGTTGCAAGCAACATGGATAAGATAATAGCTGGTAGCATCCAGCCAAATGCTCTGAATACCTAAAACATAAAAACATAGCATAAAATTAGAAGACTATTTTTTAGTATTTTGTAGGAGAAGAAATAAAGGAATCAAGTCACAACGAATCAAAGACGAGTAAATTATGACTTTACAGAATGATTGGAAAACCCATAAAAAATTATCAGGAATAAGGAGGCAATAACAGGAGCTCTGCACAGCACTGTTCAGCTAGGGGTCCACAAAATTTCACATGTATGACATATTTTGTCCTAAAATATGTGAGAAGAAAGAAAAAATGAAGTGAGTTTGCAATAGAAACACTTTGCACTGGAACAATCCAGCATCTTTCTTACTTTTTCAATTATGGATCAATATTTATGCCTTCGTCTTTTCCATGTAATTCCATAAATATCAGCTTAGTATGATAATAATTTCAAAGTGTTTTATCCAAGAAAAAGAAAAGATAATTATTTCAAAAGATTCCAGATCATCTTACACAATTCAAGGGCATCTCGTTTTGAGGAGCCAAGGGAATTTGGCATATTCTGACATACAAAATTACAATATAATTATTATTCAGCCACCAACTAACTAATGTTTTTTTTCTAACTACAATACAACATTCATATAGACAATCATCATCATCATCATAACTTTTTTCCCTATTAATTGGGGTTAGCTACAAAAATCTTGATCCGCCATTTTGTTCTATTAAGGGTCATACCCTCAATGAAGCGATAAGCCCCCATATATTTTCTAACTACTTCCAATCATGTCCTTTTGAAGCAACCCCTTAGCCTTCCACTTGAACTAACTCGCAGCTCCTAAAAGGTGTTGTACTTTTCTCAGTACTTCCAACCATGTCCTTTAGGGCCTACCCCTTAGCTTTCCACTTGAACTAACTCACACCTCCTAGCAGGTGTTATACTGGGACTGCGCCACACATGGCCAGCCCACCTAAATCCAGTCTCTCTCATCTATCTCAACATCCTCATCTCCACTACACTCATTCTATGGGTATATTATTTTTTGATCGCCCAACTCATCTCCACTACACTCATTCTATGGGTATATTATTTTTTGATCGCCCAACATTTCGCCCCATAGAGCAAAGCTGGTCTCACAATTGCCCTATAGAACTTGCCCTTCAGCTTCATTGGTATATGGCGATAACATAAAATTCCGATTGCACATCTCCACTTCGCCTAGCCAGCTCTAATTTTATATGCAACATCTTCCTCAATCTCTCCATTTTCTTGAATTATCGACCCAAGATATCAAAAGTGCGGTCTTTTTGGTATTTCTTGGTCGTCAATCTTAACTACTTCCTCGTCTCTACTCCTATTATTACTAACCTTGCATTTCATATACTCGATCTTAGTCCAGCTAATTTTAAAACTTTTGGATTCTAGATCATCCCTCCAAAGTTCTAACTTTAGGTTGATGCCATTTCGAGTCTCATCGATTAAAACTATGGCATTTGCAAACAACATGCACCACGATACCTCATCATAACCATGTAGGTGCCTAGTTCATAACCAAGACAAAGAGGCATGGACTCAATGCTGACCCCAGATGTAAACCTATTGTTACTTAAAACCCACTCATCTCTCTGCTAGTTGTTTGTACTCTAGTTAGCGCTCCATTGCACATAGTTCTCCCAAGTCGATGTAGTATCTGAAGACTCCTTTCTTTTTCAACACTCACCAAATCAAATCTCAAGGTACTCCATCATAAGCTTTGTTTAGATCGATAAAGATCATGTTGTGGAGGTCTTTCCCCTTCGCCTTAAACTTCTCAATCAATTGCCTAAGTAGGAAAATAGCCTTAGTTGTTGACATCTCTAGTATAAAACCAAATTGGTTTTCAGATACAATTGTTTCATGCCTTAGTCGTTGCTTAATCAACTCTCTCTCAAAGCTTCATAGTATGGCTCGTAAACTTGATCTCTCGACAATTTGCATAATTCTGTATGTCTCCTTTGTTCTTGTAAATAGGTATCACAACACTTTTCCTCCATTCATCTGTCATTTTCTTCGTTCTCAACACCTTGTTGAACAGCGTCGTGAACCAGTCAATGACAATCTCCCCCATGCACTTCCAAACCTCTATCGGGATATCATTCGGTCCTAAAGCCTTTCTTATCCTCCTTTTCAAAGCTTCTTTCACTTCCGATATCCTGACCTCCTCCTCATTTATAACAATGGTTCCTTCTACCACTATGTTCCCATCATATTCATCATTTAATAATTTTTGAAAATCAACTCTCCACCTTTTGTTAATCTCTTCATCCTTCACTAAGACTCTTTAATCCTCACTCTTAATGCATTAATATAGTCTAGAACCCTTCACTTTTTTCTCTCATTTTCGTTAAATTGAAGACATCTTTTTCACTTTTTCTTGCTCTTAGTTTACTGTATAGGTTATCATATGTCTTAAGTTTAGCCGTACTTACTATTTGTTTAGCATTTTTCTCAGCATTTTTATATTCTTCTAAGTTTTGATCATTTCTATTACACAAATAAATCTATTTTCTCATTTTTAAAATTCTACCACCTAGTTCTTGGACAATTATTACTTTCACGACTTCTCTTTTATGTCTTTATGAAGACATCCATAACCATGAGCCTATGTTGGGTAGTCACTCACTCCTATGATAACTTTGCAGTTTTTACATGATGATCTATCTACCTTCTTAACTAGGACGAAGTCTATCTGGCTTTAAGTGATCCACTTTTATAGGTTATTAAATGTGCATCGCATTTTTTAAAATAAGTGGTTGCTATTGCTAGATCATAGGCTATAGCAAAATCTAGAATAGCCTCACCCATCTCATTTCTTTCCCCAAACCCATATCCCCCATGTACCATATCCTCTACTATCCTTCCTTACATGGCCATTTAAGTCCCCTACTAAAAGGTTCTCTCTCCATTGGTATGCCTTGGACTATTCCATCCACATCCTCTCAAAATTGTCTCTTAATTCTATCCTCTAATCGTACTTGCGGTGCATAAGCACTAATTACGTTTATTATCTCTTCCCCTATTACAAGTTTAATTAATAGGAGCCTATCATCTATTCTTTTGACATTAACTACTTTATCTTTTAAATATTTGACTACTATTATGCCTACACCATTTCTATTATTATCCTTTCTTGTATACCAAAGTTTATACCCATCTATTTCTTTAGCTTTCTCTCCTTTTCATTTAGTTTCCTGTAGACATGCTAAGTGTACTCTCATTTGTCTCATTGTATCCACTAACTCCATACTCTTCTTTGTAAGCATTTCTACATTCCATGTGACTAGACAAATCCTATTCTCTTGGACTAGTTTCTTTACCCGAGCTCGTCCAAATTATCGCGGGAACCCTTGCCTATTTTTCACCGCACCTGGGCGACACTGCAGCCCGTCGCTTCTGGGGAATGCCCTAGCTAACCCTCGTTCATTTCTCACTACACCAGGGTTCCGATACAGCGCGTCGCTTCAAGGGACCAAGCTAGGATAAGCAGATACTGTAGGTTCAAGATTTATGATAACTTTTGGTAAAATTTTACACTGGCTGCCTACCTAATACAACTCAGCCCTTTTACCCGAGCATGGGACGAGTTAAGGGAAAATTCAAGGTCCTCACCCTTCTTAGACCAATATAGGCAACACGCATTGAAATTAAAAAAAAAATATTCTAGAGTCATGAATGTGCCCAATTTACTCCCCCAAAACTTCAGCGATTAACGTTATAAAATTAAATCTGAAGTTTAAAAATTGGTTAATCTCCACCACCAACAAATGACAAGAATCAAGGAGCCATTGATATGCATGGACAAGAAAGACAAGCCCCTCATTTACCAAACCAAGGACCACATGTGATCATCCTCTAGAAGAGTCTAATCGAATCAATTACAATACTTACTCTAACTGAAATCCATGAGTTTCCTGAGCAGAACAAAGGTAGAATTAATGTAATTCATATTTAGCCTACGCTACTTATTGATTATCAAAAGGCGAACCCCCTGGCCATTCCCACCGCCCAACGCGGTGCTAGCTAAGTCTGTCGCTAGCACAAAGTCGATTCTCACTTGTAGTATAGCAAAAGTAACCTAAGCAGGTTGCCTTTGGATAAACTATTTGCGGCATGGCGGCATTTCCAAAGGCAACCTATCAAACATGGCAAAAAAGTCAACATTGGACACAACTTAACTAAGTAGCGCACTGCTTCTAGACGCTCGAAAGGCCTTTTTCCCGTCTAGGCTGTGCGAACTAACTTAGTCTGATGCCCAAAGAAATTAATACAACTGACCTTGATAAAAACATAACTATGTAGACTTAACACACAGATGACTTTCAAAAAATATACACAGATGATTGAGAAATGTTGCTTAGTCGAATGCCATAGGAGGCAACTTATCCATTGTAGTAACTCCACAAGCATGAATCTCTTACCTAAATGCAAAAGCTTGATCTACTCCTGCTTATTTGAAATTTAATCATTTTTCAGCCTTGGTTACATAAAAATACTTCTTTTTTTTGAGGAAGTTAACAGCTACATAAAATTCACTTATCACCTCATTTAATTTCAAAGTTAAAAAAACATATTTTTCCCTTACATTTAACTTCCTATATTTGGCTTCCTATATTTAACTTCCTATATTTGTAATGTTAGTGAAAATCATAAACTCACCCCCTAAGCTGAAAAACCTTCGGAGAGCTTTACAGAAAGATGTGTTGCTAATGATAAAAACCAGTAACAGCTGATTTTTTTGGGAGCTTACCATTGGGATACCAATGGCAATGACATATGAATGAAGTTTAACTTCTGAAGCTACAAACAAATGCAAGTAGCCGAACCCCTAGCTCGCTGTGTCTCAGGCTGACCAATCAAAGAGAGAGAGAGAGAGAGAGAGAGAGAGAGAGAGAGAGATGCTAG